CTGGAATTTTTCCAGGATAGTGAACGTTCCACCCCCTCATTTGAGGCACGCAACCATTAGGTTACAAGTTGGTGGAGTTCACGGCGGTGACAGGGCTCGAAGCCCTAACCTCCGCCTCACCCAAGCCCTAAGGCTTGGGGACCAACCATTGGGCCTCAGGCCCGGTTGGTATTTACTTAAGTCTAATTATAAAATAAAGAACTAAAGTATATATGCTAATTATTAAGTAAAAATAAGATAAATTTAAAATTAATTGTCAATTATATCATAGCAGACACTTAAAGTCATGCTCTTTTCTTTTGTCATTCAAAATATATCTCCATCATTTTAACACATTTCATAACAATGGACTTTTAATTCCTTCTTTTGAGACATTCATCTAGAGTTATTGATTTAGAAAATGATTGACACATTCTCAGTTCAACACATTTTTTGATATACTCTCGATTTAGTCATTAAAAATATAATATAAATACAATCAATTCAACTGGTTCTGATATCTTGTATGTATGATTGTATCATTAAACTTGCCTATTTTTAATTTTAGACTAAAAAAAAATAATTTTGTAATAAATGTGTTATATAATGTGTAAAACCAGAATGTGTACCAATCTCTGTCCAATTAATTTTCATAATTGTTAATTTTTTTAGCTTTGGACTTTATATCATTGCTTATTTGACTTTTGATTTTCTCAACTATAATGACTAATTGATTATACTATTTAATTTTTCATTTGTTTGCGAGAGAGGTTTTAATTTTTTAATTAGTTCTTATTGGTGGTGAGAAAGAACATTTGATAATTTCAAGCTGTCGTGAGTTTTTGCTAATAATCATTTTGTTTTATTATAAACCTATTCTATAATTATTTGTCAATTTTGTCAACAAATATTTTAGCTTTTGGGTTCAAATCTTATATTTATTCTTATGTTAGTCCCTTACAATGCAAATCTAGAGTTGTATACTTGATTTGTTTTATCTTGTTTTATTTCAATTTACAATCTAATATATTTACGCAAAGTACTTTGTTTCTAAAAAGGTTTTGATTTGTTTTAATCAATTAACCAAGCATTTTTTTTAGGCTTCTATTTTCTATTTTGTTTGTTATGAATATTTTATTATTTTATATTTTATTATTTTATATTTTATATTTTAGAATTTGGGTACATTACATATTAATTTGTAGGACTTAGATAATTACACTAGAAGAAGCAATTAAAGTTCAATTAATCTCATTCTCCTTTATCATTTTTTTATTTATGTTTATATTTTTTCATTGTTGTATTTTTTGTATTGATTTTAGAGTATTTTTTATCTATAATTTATAGATGATTCTAATAATAAGAAATTATGAATCTTAATAATTTATTTAACTTGAGATATATATTTTTTTAATAATTTATAGTTGTGCCTTGTCTAGCTTGAAATTCTAGCTATCTCAGTAGCACCGAAGAAGGATCTCAAAGGAAATCTAATTTATTATAATTTCCTAAAATAATAATATTACAATATAAACCAATACAAACCGCATAATTCTTGACTAACTTGTGAACATCGAGTCGCATGCTTAATAGCCTTAATATAAGTCGCATGCCTTTTATTATTTTATTTATTGATATGCCACAACTAT